GTTGGACTAACCGATTTTGCAGGTCATCATACCTCGCAGGATAAAGGAAAGGGAAAATTTTAATGTTGATGACATTTGTTTACTCATAAATGTAGTAAAGAAAGTTTTTGTTAGTCCGTGTTTTGTAACAATACTATTTTTAGTATTATGAGTTTATGTATGTGGATTATCTGTATATGGAAATTGTGGGTTGTTAAAAAAAGTGTACATGATAGTGTAATTGTCTAATGTATATATTAATAGAAATTCAACAATCATATTAAATCCTATAATTAAAAGGACATCAGATTGGGTAGGGTTCAAGTAATAGTAACCCAATACCTACGATTTGAAAATTTTACAACTCGATGAGACATCAGGGTGCTTCGGGTTAAGTTACTTCCTGTTGGGTTGGATTGGATGGATCAGGTTGGTCGGGTTTCTAAGCATCCCTAGATACTATAAGCTTGGTTCAAATCTAATAGATTTGGGTGGAATAAATCTAATTTAGTTATCTATTGAATGTCAAATTTTGGCAGCTAGTCAAATCCAATAACATGCAAGATTTGAGTTGATCAATATTATCGCATAGATAATAGCTTCTTAATTGTAGGTGTAGGGGTTAGTTTGTGTGCAACTCAAATAATCCCTCAGACCTGGAGAATAACAAAAAAAACATCCCTAATGGACTTGTAGGATTCGAAGCAAATCAAGCAATGGCCTTTTAAAAAAATTTCCAAAGACCCAAACCTTAGATATTATGAGTTGTTTGACCGTTGCTGAATGATTTGGTGCATAATGATTAAGTGGTCATAATGATTAAGATGCTCTTATAATATAGTGCAAAATAAAATATAATTATTTGGTAATTGTTTACGATGAAATTAGGGCGCTGGATGGTTAAGAGAGGCTCAGGATACAAAATCATTCTGAGGGTTTGAGAATCATTAAGAGACGAACTTTTTTTTGCCAAACAAAATTCACCTCTTAACGATTCAGAAGTGGTATTTTAATGGAATTATTAAGAGATAAACAAACAACCCCTTATGATCGATTATCTTAAGAGCTAGGATTAGATCCAACAAATATTTTAACTAATTATGCATACATTTCACATCAAAACGCTACTAATAAATAAATGTTTATATAAATGGAACGAACAACATAATTTATAAACATTAGTTGTATAAAAAAACAACTTTTGTACAAGAAAATACCAAATACAAATATCATATAGAATAAAATTTCCATCCTTTATATTTTGGATTACAACAGTTAAGTTTGATTGGTTTGTAAATTGTTATCCAACAATCGATGGTTCCAATTAAGACATTGAAGTTTTGCATCTAATCTGATCAATTACAATTGAGTACTCCTTTGTAATTAAGGGGCCGTTTATTAAGCACTTATTTGGTAAGTGTTTACAGGATAAATTTTATCATCGGATGAACATGAAAATGGCCAATAATATTACCGGGTAAGAGCGACAAGAAAGATGAATAGTCTTACTCAGTAAGTGAGGATGACGACTCTTACCCAGGTAAGCGCTTACCCAGTAAATTGTCGCATTCTATATGTTTTGATTTACTAAAATCTTATGCATAAAAATAAATTATAGTGTTGAATCCTATCGATAAGCGTTTATTAGATAAGCATTTGGGTAAACGGCTCCTAAATTCCGGTAACTTTTTATTTCATATTATATTTAACTTCTCTTCAAAACGAAATCAATTTAATTCGTATAAATGAGATTATTTTATCATCATTTTCAGTTTTGATCATAATAATTATGTCATGTAAAACAGAAGTCGTCCCATGAAACTGTTATATGCCATGATAAAATTTTGTCGATGTATTTTTGATAATTCATTGGACGTACCAAGAACGTGCTTAAAAATTCGTATGTACGTGCTTTTATTGCAAGAATAAATCAATAATAAAATATGGTTATATCGACATGTGTCCATCGACATCTAGTATTCAATTTTAAATGAAAGAAACGGAAACTGATCACGATTTCCTCCTTCGAATCATTAAGTAAAGTGTAATTTTGTAACAATACACGGAAAAACAATTGTTCGACCCTTGCCCTGGGGGTTTTACGCATTTTACATTTATGATATTAATTAATATTATAGAGGAGGTTTCAAATACAAGTAATGCAATTGTTACAAACCAATCATGTGAGATATTTATAAAAATGATGAGAGTTTATTTATCATGATCTGGAGATATATATATATATATACATATATATATATATATGGACAATAATTAAAGTTTATTAATTTATGATCAATACTTTATATTAGAAAACAATTGAGATATTTATGGAACCACGTACTCATTAGATAAGATAAACAGTAGAGATCGGTTTGTATAATAAACCACCTCTAATATCATGTTTTAGTCATGATATGTTTTTATTTACAATTAAACTACAAAAATATATCTGGAAATAAGATTTTCTTTTTAATTTAGGTGTTGTTTATCAAATTTAAGTGTTTACTGGAAAAATTCAACACTATCACTTACTTACCGGATAAAATTTTAGATGACAAGTATGCAACAATTTACCGAGTAAGCGTTAACCATGGTAAAAGTCGTCGTCCTCACCTACTAGATAAGTCTTCGGTCCTTGCATTCACTCTTACCGGGTAAGTTACGTGGTCCTTGACATATGCGTTCAGTAAGGTAATATACTTGATAAGTGCTTACCCGGGTAAATATTTAATAAACGACCCCTTTCTCATATGTTTCGATCTATTTTACCTTACGCCATCAAGTACCCAACATCGTAGTTTAATCACCAAATTCCTCTCTTAACCACGACTTGTACGAAACAACATCCGAGAACGAGAACTTCCAACCCGAATGTTCATCACCTTACGTTCTAATTACCTTTTTATCCAAAAAAGATTACCCATCCACTTATTTGCGTAAAATAATAATATCAATACCGGTTAAAGGCGAATTCGTCAAAAAGTCGACTACCACGGAACATGGGCATCATAGACGAAAACGCCCACCGAACGTTCTTGTTAAAATGATAACATCAATGCTAGTCATTTTTTCATACAAAATTATCAGCTCCATTCACTAGGGAAAATATAAAGTTTTCATCAAACCAAATTATGAATGAGATATACTGAGTTCTTTTGGTTTGTTTAAACACCAAATACGTCTTAAATCTTATTGTTGAAAGGTGGGATCGTAGCCATAAACTGAGATAGAGTGCGGACGTTAATTAAGAACAAATACACCAAAAAGGCGAAAACCGAGCAAAATAACAATAAATAAATAACTTTGATTTTAATATGAACAAAAGAACAATAATATTTTTATTGAATGATATATGTTGCTAAACAATTGTTTCTCTCCAAACGTAGACCAATACATTCTATATGTTTAAAGATTCTCTTTATTTATATAAATATATAATTATAATGCCATGGATGAACAGACCACATCAGATGCAAATGTGTTTATTTTGAAAAAGAGAATAAAATCAATAAGTAATTGACTTGGCAGAACAGCAAATTTTGCCTAGTGACCAACACGTTGACCTCCTTGTGGTGGTGGCTGTCCACCATGCCCTTCAGTCGCCTGACCACCAGATACAGGCGGTTCTGGCGGCGGTGGACCATCATTTATGGGTGGTTGACCCAATTCTGGAAAGGGCCGACTTTGTGGTGGTTCGGGAGCCTCTGGTCCTTTAGGCGGCTTTGGGGGTTTAGGAGGGAACGGAAACGGTGGCTTCGGGGGTTTGGGTGGAAACGGAATTGGCGGCTTCGGGGGTTTGGGGGGAAACGGAATTGGCGGCTTCGGGGGTTTGGGAGGGAAAGGGAAAGGAGGTGAAGGACCAGCATATCCACACATCCCATAAGTGCAGAAGGTAAAAATTGGGCATCGGTTGAAACACCGGCCGCAATTAAACGGGTTGACATTTGTATCGATGCATACACCTCGGCAACACTGCCAAGTAAACGGGCATCGAATCCCGCAAACTCCACAGTTGTTGACATCCGACGTCACCTCAACACATCGGTTACCACAACACCTTCTTCTAACTTGAGATGGGAACCCACCATCATTACAAATCCAAGGCCTATCCCCGCACCCAGGTGCTTGTTGCAACCTAACCCGCCTAACCCACGGAACCGTGGTTCCATTTGTGGCATTTGGGTGCAACCCAATGAGCCATGTTTGATTATTCTTGTTACCTTCTGCCTGCACAATGCACAAAGGCAGTAGAACAAGAGCCAACAACAGGTTGATTCGGGTACAGGTTAATTGAACCATTTGCAGGCTGCATTCGTAAGATAAATGGGTGCAGATAGGTGAGGATATTTATAGCGTTTTGGGGCAAGTCACGAGAAACTTATAGGCACGGGTGAGTTCATGTTTTTCTTACCATTTAAGCGTTTTAAGGCGTTCCGCCTGTGTGGCTTTGTGTGGGATGATTAACATTTTATGTGTGAAAGAAAGGTTTTCCATTGGAATACAGTTGTACGTAGGTATCTTAACAAAGGTTTTTCTTTTTGCTTTATACATTTACATGTGAATAAAGCAAGATTAACAGCCTCCTCTTTCCCTTCTATATGCCACAGATCTACAGAATTTGCAAAGATTTATGTATTGATGAATATGGGCTCTATATTGTGGGCCTAAATCAGGATCTAAGCCCAACTGGCCTGTTCACCTGGGTCATAAAAGTCAATAGATTGACCAAACCACAAATTGAGTCTTATGGATAAATGACCTTAAGGGTGCGTCTGGTACACTGGACCATGACCATAAGGGTAAATATAAATGAGGCTTTTATTAGGACCATGACCTAAGAAAATTTTAGCTCAATGACCTTCATCTGACTTGCACCGGTTAAAAACAGTTTGCTCTTGTAAAAACTTAAAAATACAGACCAAAACCAAACTGAAGGTAAGGTTTGAGAAGGGTGGGATGTATGTAGACTTGGCCTTTATGCTCTGCCCCAAAAGATTGAGCTGTTGTTTCCATGAATGCCCCTGGCTTGCTGACATAAGTAAATCTGGATGTCAAACCCATGAATACCTAGGAAATATAAGAGAGATGAAAGGACAAATCTTGAGGTTGAGTAAATCCCTTTGGTTTGATATAAATTTTTCTAACATGCAATAATAACATCAAGTAGACTAGTCATAAAGTATAAGCGCATTTGATATAGGTGCAGCAGTTTGCCAATTCATGAGATTTAAGAGGAAAAATACCGGGGTAGACCCAATCATATGCTAAAACATCATCAAAATGATCTCATATGCTGAACAACTAAGCAGAACAATTCAACATCCATACCAATATCCATTTGACAATATGTAAACGGTATCTTGAACCATTGAAATGAAGATAACTAGCAAATGTATCATATTATTGGGACCAATCCAATCTACTTCAAGTTTATGGTGAGATTTTAGAGTAAGAACAAAAAGGGACATACTGGTTCACTTGGTCTCGTCTTCTTTTTCCTCTTCCATTTGTCCATAGCGACGCTTGAACTTAGCAACCTGACCAACACTTTCAGCCATCTGCCGTCTTGCTCTGAAATGATAAACTTTTCCAGCCTGGTGTATTTTGGTCATCATAACATGCATCAGCCGGCCACTTTGGGTCACATATGAGATCCATTGCATCTGAGGGTGAATTCCTTTCTTCATTTCTTCCTGCAAATGGAAGGAAGTAAATAGCCACATAATAGAGTCCATATGAACATTATTAGAACAACATGAACCTTGAGGGCCAACTCAACTAGCAAACAAAAGGCTAGGTCGCAAGTTCGAGACTTCTCAAGGCCACTGAGGATTTTTCTGCCTGTTATCTTCAGGGCCCATGGGATTAGTTGAGGTGCAAGTAATTTGGCTCAGACACCCATTGTAACCAAGAAAAGGGAAGAATAGCATGCAATTCTTGACAAAGAAAAGCAAACATAACTAGTCGATATCATCACGCAGGTATAGCAACCACACCTCCCAATTGAGTAATGCAATCAAACAATGATAAGGAAAAGTAGATTCTTGTACCTAATTCTTACTTTGTATTAATATGCAGTGGGACAAATACGTCTAGAAAAATGATGAGGCAAATGCACCATCTTCATTGGGGCAATAGAGCGAACAAGTGGTGACCATTAAGAAAAGTACCCACTGGTGATGAATTAGATCCAATCATCGTGACCTATTAGACCCTTGAAAGTATCAAATTGTGGATTCTAACTCCACATCAGGATCATATTTCCTATGTTCTGGGAAGATAAGCGAGTGGATTTTTACAAGCAAAATTACAAGGGTGTCTAATTCGATTTTGGAGCTGAAGAAAGACAGTTAGGGTTTCCATTATAAAGCACAGTACTGACAGGTTATGGCTAATAAATTTAGGGATGTAAGATGAACTCTATAAATTCCAGAAACACAAATGAATGTTAACGAATTAATGAATCCTACAACGACTAAAGGAAGCAAAATTTATGCAATCAAATTCAAAAGATAACAAAAACAGCAGATTTTCATAGCCAAAAATTAGTTTTATTAATCAAAAGCCCCTTTTTCATCTAAACAACAAAAATGGCCTCCATTCAGGGCCGGCCCTAAGATTTTTGGTGCCCACGGCGAAAAGTACAAATGATGCCCAATTAAAAACATCCAAGTGTGGTAATTTACAATTGCCTAGCTTTTTTCTTCATAGATCGAGAGATCCATTAGTGTTTTTTGTTCATAAGGTGTTTACTTTAAAATAATATATTAAGGTTTCTTTAATCAAGTTGTTATAGCCCTTGAGTTTAAACACCAACTCATCTACTTGTCCAAAACCAAAATAAGGAGCATCATAACACTAACTCATCTACTTGTCCCATTTACTACATCCCACGTCTTCTATATAAACCAAAATCAACGCTCGTACCTTCTCAATCAAACTCCAAATACTTAATTGGTTGGTTCTTCTTCAATTATTTACACTCTACAACATCAATGGCTCATTCCTACTTCACTAATTTTGTCCTACTAGTTTTAGTCACTTAAGGTGTTTGCCTATGAAATTAGCTATTGCATGACTCCATTAGTCCATCATGTGTTTCATATAATCATATTTAGGGTCTTGACCAATGACAATCATGAGTTTCATATGTAAAATTGCAAAGTTAAGGGAGAACAGTCAAGTGAATTACTTACTGCACATTCAAGTGAGGGCAAATCATCACTTAACTACTGCACATTTATAGGTCTATTCAACTATATTATAGTTACTGAAATTATGTTAATATACATCAAAATCTAATGGGATTAGAACAAAAATCGATGGATGATAACTTGAATATTAATCACAGAACGAAGAACTAAAACTTTAGAGATAGGCTTGATTGATTCGATGAACAACTAGATCAATTAATAACAATAGTATTCATTTAACTTTAAACAAACAAACTTACTTGTGCAGTTGAAGAGTCAATCTAAGAGAAATCAACAATGCAAGCTTCTGATAATTTCTGCAGCAAATTACTTTCCTCTACCTCTTTTACTGTACCTAGGCTGGGATTAAAGAAATAAGAAATATTAACATGCCAAATAACCAAACTTACAATAAACTCAAAACTTGAAAGCTCACCATTAACCAAAGACTCGGCTTCCCTACACTTAGAAACATAAATGACAAACCACAAAGGACATTATACATACATGATACAGTATGTATAATTAACAGTCAACCACCCAACAATTAACAAATGGCAGCAAAAGGCATGGATTTCAATTAGGATTTAGGCATACAAGATACATTAACATTATACATACAGACTAACAGACATACAGTGAAGTGAATCAAGTGATACAGTAACAGAATTAGAAACATAAATGACAAACCACAAAGGACCAATTTCACAGCTTCATACTTAGGTTTTGCAATCAAACAAGAATTAGAAACATAAAAAATAAAACAATTAAAGTAAATAACCCTAAGTCCCTAACATCACAAGTCACAACTCACAAGAGTTAAGATGCGAGAGCGAGAGCGAGAGGCCGAGAGCCGGTCGGCTGTCGGCGGTCGATAGTCGAGACTCAAGAGAGGCAGAGAGTGAGAGTAAGAGTAAGAGTGAGAGCCGATTGAGTCAAGGCCGATTGCGATTTGGATTCGTGAATCGGCTTTGTTCGTGATTTCCGTGAGCGAGGCGAGAGCGAGAGCGAGAGTCGAGGGAGTGAGGGAGGACAAATTGAAGGCCGATTGAGATTGCAGTGAAATCAAAATTGAACGTATACATACTAGTTGTGTAGCCGATCAATACGAGAGCCGTAAATTTTAATGATTTTGAAGCTTCAATAGTTTTGTTAAAGGAGATTTTAACAATGACATAACTTACATTTTATATAATAATACAGTTTGAATAAATAAGAGTTATGGTTCAAATTCAGTCTATCAATAAAAAAATTATGACAATTTAAAATTCAATATATTTAAACCAATCCAACCTAATATAAATATCTATTGAAATATAAAAAATTAATTTGAATTTTGCATCTTGAATCAGGAATATGGTTAAAGTGTTTTGATGATTGTTCAAATATTCTTAATTAGTTGGATGAAAACAAGCAAATTTAATCATATGATATTGATTGACCGTGCAATTTTAGTTTGAGTACCATTTAGTGATCTGGTAGTGTTAATATACACAACGTAAAAATGCATTTGATAACTTAAATAAAGCAAGGTTGGAAACCCTCTTAGGTGTGGGTAATATTTTGTAACTAATTGTTGTTAACAATTGGGTTCAATCATATTTTTTTTAGATGAGAGTTAGGTTTAAGCAAGAATAAAATTATGGTAAAAAATGATTTTCATCCTAAAACCAATTATAATTGAAGATTAACATTAACGAAGCGCATCGGATCCGTTCTTATACTTAAACTTTACCTTAACTTTTATTCTTACACAATCCTTTAAAGATGGGTTGACCGAACTCAATCGAGAGCAAGGATTATATTACTAACTCTCAAGTCTAACCGCAAAAGATGGAGACAGATGAAATACTTATTGATATAATATTTCCACCAACAAAACTCACTGCTCCAAATTGTTTGGTTTTCAAACAGACCAACACATTTTAAAGTAAAAAAAAATATTTTATCAGCTAATTACCTCAAGTAGAATATAATTCAAATATATGTTTGTATATGAATGACATAAAATGAGCGTAGTAGACAAATGATATTCCAACCAAAAAGGATATATATAAATACCATATCTATACATGTTAGACACCATCAATCATTTCAAAATGTGTTTCCAACTAATCCTTAAAAGGCTTCCGATCATGTACATCATCTCTTTGGAGGCGTTTGAATTGATCATTCAAAATCTTGAAATATATATATATATATATATATATATATAGAGAGAGAGAGAGAGAGAGGAGCGTTCAAATAAAAACTGGCCCCATTTGTGTAAACCGTGTAAACCAATCTCATCCATCCATTTTCTTGATCAATGACCAAAATTAGTTTACTTTATTTTAGGAAATTAAATAAAAATGTATATTAAAATTTTATTTTATTTCAACAGTAAGGACATAAATGGTAAACAAAATTTAATATTTGGTAACATCCTACTCGATCTTTCATGAATCTTTTTTCATGCAAAATTATTTTCTTCCAAGATTAGTTTACTTTCATGAATCTTTTTTCATGCAAAATTATTTTTCTTCCAAGATAAGTTTACTTTCATGAATATTTTTTCATGCAAAATTATTTTCTTCCAAGATTAGTTTACTTTCATGAATCTTTTTTCATGCAAAATTATTTTCTTTCTTTCGTTCCTGTTTTGATGCATTAATTTCTTTAAGCCTTGCAATCTTAAAGATTCTAAAGCATATTATAATCTTCAAGATTCTGGAGCAGTTTCTTCATATACCCGTTTCATCATTCAATTATTTCATGACGAACCAAATACATTATGCAACTGTTTCATCATTCAATTATTTCATGACGAACCAAATACATTATGCAACCGTTTCACTAGTCATGCTCAAGAACGCCATGAACCAGTTTCACTTTCATGAAACCTATTTCATGTATAGTAATTTTCTTATTTCACCACTGATTTGATGGATTCATTCCTTTAAGCCTTACAATTTTCAAGATTCTGGAGCAGGTTACAATCTTCAAGATTCTGTAGCAGATTAAAAGCATTTCCTCGTTTCATCATACACTTAGTTCATGACGCATCAAATACAAAATGCACCGGTTTCATTTTCCTCTTCACCAACTAATTGGATCAACTACATAATCAATGCAACGGGTTCACCATGAAAATGTTTCGGTTCACATAATTTACTTGCAACATGAAACAGGTTTCATAGTTTCACGTTCATGAAACCTGTTTCATTTCTGGATTTTTTTTTTCCATCTACGATTTGATGATTTCACTATACACTTCAATTGTTTCATCAAGACCCGTTTGCTGATTCTTAAAGATTACAATACATGAAATTCAAAATTTTTAATATTATAATATAATTAAATATTTAAATATTACCATTTATACAATTTCCTTTATTATGTTTTTTTAATTAAGATTTATTAATAACTTTCATATTTAATAGAAAATATTGTAAATGACTGAAATACCCTTATTGATTAATTTTAATTAGAAAAAATGGAATTTTTCTATTGGTCGAAATTGGTTTACACGGTTTCTTAAAAATGCACGGTTATATATATATATATATATATATATATATATATATATATATATAGGATAAAAGAATAACATGTTTTAATAAATGGTGAAATGCACCCCTCCAAGTCATAGAAAGACAAAGAATAACAGTATGAACCTCATCAAGTTTGATGTAACCAAATGATAAAATGGGATCACTTTCATCAATCATCCGATGTAATAGTTTATCAAGATCATTTTCCGTCCCATTGCCCAACCATCCTCATTCTCCTGCCAAACAAGCATTTTTTTTAAGATAGGATGCACAATATAGAGGCCCTGTCCAAAGAGCCACAGAAATAAGTGAATCAGGTACCTATAAGATAAGATAGGTTTAGACCATTTTGCAGTCATAACAGATATGAAAAAGAGATAGCATTTGTGTTTTGGTCAAGATAGGTCTTTCAAACCAAACCAAACGACCCCCGTATATCCCAACCATGGGCGAGGCGGATCCAGTAAGGGACGGAGAGGGGTGTCATCTGCTACCGCTCTATTAATAAAAATAGTACTTTAAACCAAACTCATTTCATTAGTCAAAACAAAAACAAACACAACCTTCGTATAGGTCAAAATTAAAGTGAATGCAAGCAATATA